CACATATCCCTGAGAGGTTTTGAACACCGAAAAAGTAAATCATCATCCGTTCAAGCCAGGCGCTTCAGATTCTCACAGGCCTTCACCAAGTCGCCAATCCGCAAGCCACCTGAAATGAACTCTGGTCAAAGTCCGCCCAAACAAAAACTCGAACGGGGCAAACACACCTTAATCAATCAACATGTTGTTGAATTGAGCCGAAACACAAGCATCCACGAAGTCTTTCCAATTCTTCTCATGCCCATGCAGTGCCAAAAACTCCTTCGCTTCCTGCTCGGTCAAGTCGCCAACCCAAATGTCTTCCTGCCTTTCCAATCCACCAGCATCAAAAGCCAGCGCCACTGCCGCCGAAGAGGCTGATACAATCACCTTGGACCAAGGATAAATAGACGTAACTACAGTCCCCGCAAAACGTTTTCTGTTTGAACCATTGGAACTTAGTCTTTCAGCTGGAGAGCATGTATGGCACAGCCGATTTTGTCCGTCGCCACATCCTTCGCTGTAGAAGAGACTCGGTCGATGCCTCGCCCATAGGAACCGGAACAAAATGACTCGGGTCAAATGCATTACAATATTTGAAAAAAAAACTGCTGTCCACTCAGTCCTTCAATGGTTGTACGAGGGATGTCGAGGAGGAGAACGGGATACTTGGTGAGGTTGTCGGGAAAGTCCTTGAGCTTCTCGCCCACTCGGCGCATCATCTCTTTGAACAGACCACTGTTCTCCACTTTAAGTTCCTCGAACATCATCCTCTTCCAATCGGCGCTCTCGATGCTGAATCGCACAACACCTCGCACCCCGCGCAAGGCTTCTTCTGTTGCCACCGACTTGCCGGACTGATAGCGACCATGAATGATGGTCGCATGTTGTCGCCAGCACTCAACGCGTTTCTGGATAGTTCCCATCACTGGCCTTTGGATGACCTCGTCTTGCGGCCTGCTGGGCTCAAAAGGTTTCATGGCCTTTGCCACTGCTGCTCGGATTTTGCCCTCGGAAGAGGCTTTGAATGTCCGCACTGAGTCCCTGACTGCCCGCACTGCCTGTATTGTCGCTACAACAAGACCCGAAGCAGAAACAATGACTTGCCAGACCTTCACGTCCAAGGCTCTGCAATGGGTCGAGCGTGGGCGCAAATCCTCTTTCACCTCGAGGGCACAGATTGAGGAGTGAAAAATATACAATGCAATATAAAACCAAAAATATGCAAGAATGTTTTTTCTGTCTGACCAAGTAGAAAAAGTTACCAAACAGCAAAGTTTCAATGCTAGACCCAATAAATTGAGGACGCTCAATGAGGCCCCGCAGTCTCGCTGATGCCACCTGCGGATGAAAGAGAAACAAACTACGCACTTTGCATGAATCCATTCAAGACACACCAAATTTACAACATGTTTTATAACAGAATAATAAACGCAACCGTGTCTTGAAACTGCATGTCCATCGCCAACCTGCGGTGGTGGCACAAAGGCCCCCATCAACTTCACCAAAACAAAGACCAGCGCCATCCATGTCTTGATACGCACTTGGTGCCTCCGCTTCATGGCAAAACTATCCCCACACTCAAGTCCCGACTGCAGAAGAGCTCACATTATTCTAAGCTCAGGGCGTGATTTTGGTAAACTTGGTGTCTGATCTTGATTTTGGACGACGTCAAAAACATATTGCACAAGTCTTTGGAAATTCTGCACGCGTGCGTCCGCCCTGATGTCTTGCCACAAGCCGTTTTGAGCAAACTCTGCGGCATGGACGCTGTCAAGCTGGGCAAACGCGTCGTCAAGCAACAAACGAAGGCCTGAGAAGTAACTTGCAGAACCAAGACGGCGTTAAGGAAGGAGATTAAGAGATTACGTGAGGGCATCTAGCAAAGGAAAGGCTTAAAGGACAATGATATCAGGCAACGATATTTGAGGATCGCTGCAAATCCCATTCGCCTTGCATTCGGCCTTGCAAGAGAACTGCCTCGCAAGTTGATAGTGAAGGCCAGTCACTGAGAACACATTTGTTGCATGAACATGTCTAGCGCCCATTGCCCTGTGTCGCCACACTCTCACCCAAACAGCTTTGGTCCGTGTGGTGCCTGACAAGTGTCCTCTTCGTTGAAAAGACCCGATGTTGCTTCTTCAAGGCTAAGCCCTACGCAACAGACCTATCATCAGGTTTGCGCAGTGTTCGATTAACACCACCTGCCTCGTGTCCTCGTGTGGGCGGCGCCTCATCGAGAATGAGATAGCCACACGTGTAAAGGCTCATGATGCTGGGGCTCCATCCACCAAGCTCATCGCGCATCTGGGTGGCATCTGCGCTCACCACTCCCTCATGAGCTCAACAGAAACATCTTGCCGATTTTTGAACTCTGTTGTCACTGTCCTATTCAAGTGTTGACGGGCGAGGTGTTCCTGACCACAGGAAGTCTTCAGCGCGCTTGCCGCCTGGCTGGGGCGCAATTGCGCGCGGGCCACTCAGGTTGTCGATCTCCCTGTCGCCCTCCTCTGCTCGGGTGACAATAATGAGCTGGCGTCCGCGTTCAAAAGCTTGCCGGGTGAGCTCAATCAATGCATTGCCGTCACCCTGCAGCCCACCATCGAAAGCATTGTCGAAGAAAATGCGCGCGCCAATGCCATGACTTGCAAGCTGTCTGAAAAAAACGAGCGCGCAACCTTGAGTGCAAGGGATGTGGCTGAAACCCGGAAAAACTTTGAGGCTCTGTCCAAGCTCTCCCTGCAGTACCACCATCACGCAGGACTCGCTTGCGTTGGTTTTCAACACAGACTTCTGAAAAGCTCTGTGGCTTCTGCGGCAACTTCTCGCTTATCTTTTCCGACGCAAAATGCGGAACGCATGGCTTTTATCCGCACATAAGCTGTTGTTCCAGTTGCTGGCTTTAATGCATCACCGTGTCTTTCGTATAATATGTTGTGAATCACGCGCCGCGTGATCAGGTGTACACTCAGGCGCCGTGGCCCCTGGCCCAAATCACCCCACAGCGAGTGGGAGTTTGCTTCGCCCGCTGGCTACGAGTGGCATTGAAAAGGTGCGCTCGCGCTTTGGTTCTCTACCTTGTCTTCAGCCTGGGGCCTCGTGGGCCCTGGCAACGACATGATATTGGCAGACTTCGGCATCCAGACTGCGGGTCACTTTGGCATCCTCAGCAGAACCGGCAGTACGGCAACCTCCCGGACAGCGACCTAGGTATCTTCATGGCATCTTCCTCCCCTTCACAAAGCTCCATGAGCCTCCCGTCCACGGATGTGGCCACTACAAGGGATAGCTGCGTTCCCCTGTTCAGTGGTCAACCCAATGACTGCCGGGAGCGGCGGAAGAGGATAGCTTTGTACCACAAGAAGATGGTGGCACCGAAAAGAGAGAAGGAGGCGGTCTGTGGAGGCGGTCTACAACCTCCTTGGCTCTCTCACCGGCACCGCCCGGAAAGTTGTGGAACAGCTGGAGGACGCCCAGATCGAGGCCGATGACGCCTTCGAGAAGATCCTGAAGTTGCTGGACCAATCCTTCCAGTACGTGTGGAGCTGACGTCTGACTCTGATGGCTACTTCAACCAGGTTCAGCGCCGGGCAGGTCAGACCTTCCTGAGCTATGTCACCGAGCACGACGAGGCCCTGCGCAAGGTTGCCAAGCACGGTGTTGACCTCCCCTCCAGAATTGTTGGCTGGCATCTTCTTCGGCGTGCCAACCTTACCCGTGAACAGGTACGCCTCATCACCGCCCGCGCCAACAAGGCCACGGACCGCGACACCACCGTCAAGGCCTCCTACTACATCCTTGGTCAAGACTACAAGCGCCCCAACCACAAGCACAACACCTACGATCGGTTCGAAGACGCTGCCAGCAGCATGGTTATTGGGCCAATGATGACACCTACGAGGACCAGAAGGGCTTTGCCGACTGGCGCCCGAGGAGGATCCTATGTTATGTACTACCAGCACGATGAATACTGGGAAGAACAAGATTAGCCCGAGGAGTACTGTGACCCCGCCTTCTACGAAGCTGATGAAATTGGAGACTGCACCTACATGAGCGCCGATCCTGCCTCTTGGGCAGTTGAGGAGTATGATCAGGTCCACAGCGCCGACGTGGACGCCAGCAAGAGGTTTCAGGAGCTTCGCCTGTCGCGTGGTTTTCTTCCTGTAGCAGTTGCTCTTCCGGAAGGTCAACCAGCTATTGCTTCCGGTTCCCAAGCTCAAGGACGAGGAAAACGTCCGGTGGCAAGCCTTCGAGCAAGGGCAAGCCTTCACAGGCCAAGTCCCGAGCTGCGAGCGCAACGCAATGCAAAGGCTGCGGTGGATCTGGCCATTGGGCCAGCACATGCCCTCCACCACAAGCAGCCTCGTTCCGTTCTACGCCCAATCCGAACAAGCGCCCCGCCATCGAGGATGGATCCGCGATGATGGCCAACCTGCTGATCGACCAGTTCGGACCCGAACGGCCGGATGCTGTCATGTTGGATCCTGGAGCATCGTCCTTCTTGGCTGGCTACCAGCTCGCCTATGTCTCCCACCTCGAGTTCATCGGCTACCCCATTGACCAGCCAGTTCAGCCGCTGCGCCAAGGACTTGTGGTTTGGAGGTGACCATTCAGGCCGAAGCACATGGGTGGTCCGCATCCCCATCTTCCTGAACAACAAGTATGGCGTCGCTGATTGCTTCCTGCTGCCCGGACACACCCCAATGCTTCTTGGAAGACCGGCATCCAGCTGGACTTGGCCAACAAACAAATTCGGCTTCCTGGTGGTCATTGGTGCCGACTAGAATGTGGTCGACAGGATGAATACCTTCTATCCCTGACTGACTCTATGACCTGGAGTCTTGTCCCTAGCCGTTTTTTTGGCCTGGGGCAAAAAAAAAAGTTCTAAGAGCATGCAGCGATGAACCGTTTCGAATATGCAGCCCTTCTGATTCAAGAAGAAAAGGCGCGCAGCTCTGCACGCGAGGGTTATGAGCCCAACGCCCTGGGCTTTTTGACCAGCCATGGCGGACGAGGAGGAGATGGCCACACCGTCCGACAAGGGCAACGACCTGGCTGTGGTCCCTGCGGGGACCCCGGTGGCACATGCGGCTCTCCGGTGGTCTACGGACCTGTGGGAAGGGGCTCATGCGATGTGAACCCCTTCTGGAGCCAGTCGACCAAGGAGGAGGTGATCCTTCGAGCGACGAGGCCGTCTTCGCTGTCTGAGCCCATCCGCACTGAGGCGGAGGTCCAGATCAGCCCACCTCGAGAGGGTCTGGATTGGGATCTTGCCCTGACGAGCATCGTGGAGGAGAACTTGAGGCTCCGCAAGGAGATCATGGAGATCAACGGCATGGCCGGTGGGGCGTGTGGCTTTGGAGGTCAACAGCCTGGACAACTTTTAGCTCTTCCTGGTCCTTCGGGCGCTCCTGGAGGTGGTGGTGAAGCACACCAGCATGGGCCTCCTGCTGTTGCTGTGCTTGCTGAAGGAGCGGCTGTCCATGGAAGGCACGAACCGGGAGCTCATGGAGGGCTAGATGGAATTGGAGCGGCAGGTGTGTTGGCGCTCCGTGGAGGAGCCATGCCTGAGGCAAGGGCTCTTTCTTCGGACTTTGAGGCTGCTTTGACGCCTCAACCTGCAGCTGCGGCCCCTTTCAAAGCCTCGGGATTGGGACTTTTGGGTTTGGTTGGACATCAAGGCGGAGGTGGCCACCAACATGGTCCTCATCCTCAGGTACATCTGCAAGGAGCAGGAGGTGGTCTACAGGCGGGACAAGGTCAGGGCGCACTTCAGCAGGGAGCTGGTGGTGGTGTTCTGGCTGGCTTTGTTGGAGGGGTTCCTCAACAGGAAGTTGGAGGCAGACTCCATCTTGGACTTCTTCCTGGGGCTCCTCAGTTTGGGGCACATCAGCATGGGGTTGGTGGGTTTCATGCACAACAAGGAGCGCCAGCTTTGGGTCATCCTCTTCAAGGAGTGTGTGGTCACGGAGGTGGTTGTGGGCAGGGAGCTCAGCAAGACGGCCAGTGTGCAGTTGGCCAATCGTCCACTGGTGTCGGGCATCCTGGGCTCATGGAGGGCTGGGTCTAGCCCAGGAGGTGCGGCTCCAGGTGGTCTTCCTGGTGTGGTGGAGGCCATGGTGGACATCCCAATGGACATGGCGCTGGTGGTCTTCCTGGAGGTCTTGGCGTCCTGGTCAAAATGGAGGTGGTGCTCCCGGAGGTGGAGGGCATCATGGGCCTGGTGGTTTTCTGGAGGTGGTGGTCATGGAGGGCCTGGTGGGCATCCTGATCCACGGCGGTCCTCACAGAGGTGGTCTTGGTGGCCACGGTGGAGGGCAAGGTGGTGGGTCGTTTTGGGGTGTCAAGGAGGTGGTTTCCAAGGGCTCCTAAGCAACCTCATGAGCCAGCAGGAGGTGGTCAGGTTGGTGGATCTTCCCACTTCAGGAGTTAGGAGTTGTCGGAGGCGGAGATCACGGGCTCTTCTGGGCCGCTGATTGCTGGTCATTGGTTGACGTTGGTTGGCCCCTACATGCGGCTTACCAGCAGTGGCTTCTGGCGGAGCCGATGGAGAAGCTCGAGCTGGAGCCCAGATCACGTCGTCCAGGTGCCGCTGCCCCTCCTGCGCCTGCCTGCGCTCGCCTAGCCAGTTGTTGAAGGCCCGCGCCTCCTCCAGTTCTCGGTAGCGCTTCAGCAGCAGCGGCTGCAAGTTGTAACTGGGGTACGTCCTGCGGAACCACCGGAGCATCCGCGGCTCGTTGCGGGGTTCAATGGACATCATGCTTTTATACCAGTACGCTTGCGCCTGTGGTCAGCCGGTCATAAGCGGACTGCCTCTCCAGCATGCGCAGGGCGCGCTGCTGCTCTCTTGTGAGCTGAGGCGCCTCCGGTTCAGCCGGTGCCTCCGCCGGTGCCTCAGCCGGTGCCTCAGCCGGTGCCTCCGCCGGCGCCTCAACCGGGGGCGGCTTTGGCTTGCGCTTTGGAGCAGCCGGCTCAGTAGGCACGTCCTGCTTCGGTTTGTTCTTGCTCCCAGGGGGCCTGCCCCGCCGTTTCGGTTCCGGCGCAGCGTCCTGCGCAGCGTCCGGCGCAGCGTGTGGCGCAGCGTGTGGCACCTCTTGCGCCTCCGCCTCTTGCGCCTCCGGCGCCCTGTCGTGTTCGGTCGGCTCCATTTAATTATACGTGGTCAAGATATAACACGAACGACAAAGACGACCCGCGAAGCCGGACGACGTTGCCGTCCAGGTCGGTCAGGCGGAAGCGCATGTGCCTCAGGCATTCCTGCGGCCGCCCTGGCAGCGAGTGGAACAACGTGGACAAGTGGCTTTGCCGAGGGCCTTGCCGGAGTCTCTGCGGGCTGAGCTGATAGCCCATCGGCAGGTCAACAGCATCAGCATCTTGTTCAAGGTGCTGAAGGTTTATCAACCCGGAGGCTTGGGAGAAAGGACTGCAGCCTCGGGCGGGCAGGGCCGGCTCCCCAGCCCCCAGGTCCCCTAAGCCCCCCGAGTCCCCCAGGTCCCCTGGGTCCCCTAGGTCCCCTAGGTCCCCTGGGTCCTCTAACTGCCCTAAAGCTGCACTCACAAAGGCCAACGCCAGGTGAACACGATACAAAAAACAGAAGAAACAAGAGATAATAAAACCAGAAACAGACGCTGACGTAACAAGAAAAACTAGAAGACAATTGGCCCGAAAGCATTGTTGCCCATGCAGCTCTTTCTGCGTAGGCGTCTCTGCGCAAGTTGCTCTTTGTGCAAGTTGATCTGCGCAAGTTGCTCTGCGCAAGCTGGTCTGCGCAGGTTGCCCTGTGCAAGTTGCTCTGGCAAGGTGATCTGCGCAGGGGACTCTGCGCAAGTTTCTCTGCGCAAGTTGCTCTGCCGAAGTTGCTCTGCGCAAGTTGCTCTGCGCAAGTTGCTCAGCGCAAGTGCTTTGTGCAAGTGCTCTGTGCAAGTCGCTCTGCGCAAGGTGACTTTGAGCAAGTAACTGCGCCAAGGCTTTGCGCAAGTGACTCCGCGAAGGGCGCTCTGCGCAAGCTGTTCTGCGCAAGTTGCTTTGCGCAACTGTTCTGCGCAAGTTGTTCTGTGCAAGTTGCTCTGCGCAAGTGCTCTGTGAAGGCTGCCCTGTGCAAGTTGCTCTGCGCAAGTTGCTCTGTGCAAGGTGGTCTGCGCAGGTTGCCCTGTGCAAGTTGCTCTGCGCAAGTGCTCTGCGCAAGTTGCCCTGTGCAAGTGCTCTGTGCAAGTTTTTCTGCGCAAGTTGCTCTGCGCAAGTGCTTTGCCAAGTGCCCTGCTCAAGTTGCTGCGTGCAACTTGCTCTGCGCAAGTTGCCCTGCGCAAGTTGATCTGCGCAAGTGCTGCCGGAGCTGCAGGACTGTACTGCGCGTACTACGTTTGTACTTAAAAGTTGCGATTTTCCAAGCGGATGTGCGGGAGTGCACTCCGCGTACTACATTTGTACTTAAAACTTGCGATTTTCCAGCCGGATCTGCGGGACTGCACTCCGCGTACTACGTTTGTACTTAAAAGTTGCGATTTTCCAGCCGGAGCTGCGGGAGTGTACTCCGCGTACTACGTTTGTACTTGAAAGTTGCGATTTTCCAAGCGGATGTGCGGGAGTGCACTCCGCGTACTACATTTGTACTTAAAACTTGCGATTTTCGAGCCGGATCTGCGGGAATGCACTCCGCGTACTACTTTTGTACTTAAAAGTTGCGATTTCCATCTAGAAAAGCTGCCGCGGACCAAGCGGGGATCGAACCCGCGACCGCGCGATTCGGGGAGCAGCCGCGCACACCACGAGACAACTTCCGAAGACCAGTTCGGAATCGAAATTAAAGGACCGGATAACCCCACATGTCTAGCTTAAAAGAACTTTGGCCCGCGTGAATCAGAAGCACGCGCGACATCCCACGACATGCGGGGAGCGCGAGTGAGTTGCAATTCATGAGCCTGAGTGAGCCCAAGGGCCTGTGCTCATGTCTCTAACCAATGCCCTGTGTCCGATGCTTCTGCGCGCTTGCGCGCTGCGCAAGTTGCTTTGCGCAGGTTGCTTGTGCAGGTTGCCTTGCGCAGGTTGCTCTGTGCAAGTTCTCTGCGCAAGATGTTCTGCGCACGTTTCTCTGCGCAAGTGCTCTGCACAAGTTCTTCTGCGCAAGTTGCGCTGCGCAAGTGCCCTGTGCAAGTGAGTGTTAGTTCTGACTTTGCAGCTAGAGCTGCGGGAAGGTACTCCGCGTACTACTTTTGTACTTATAAGCTGCGATTTTTGAGCCGGAGCTGCGAAACTGCACCTCGCGTACTACTTTTGTACTTAAAAGTTGCGATTTTCGAGCCGGAGCTGCGAAACTGTACCTCGCGTACTACTTTTGTACCTAAAAGTTGCGATTTTGGAGCTGTACCTCGCGTATTACTTTTGTACCTAAAAGTTGCGATTTTGGAGCCGAGGCTTCGGGACTGTACCTCGCGTACTACTTTTGTACCTAAAAGTTGCGATTTTCGAGCCGGCACTTCGCGTACTGCTTTTGTACTTAAACGTTGCGATTTTCGAGCCGGAGCTGCGAAACTGCACCTCGCGTACTGCTTTTGTACTTAGAAGTTGCGATTTTCGAGCCGGAGCTGCGAAACTGTACCTCACGTACTACTTTTGTACTTAGAAGTTGCAATTTTCTATTCGAACCCCAAAGGCTTGGCGCAATTTCGATCGCAAATTGAAAGCAAATCCCGACGGATCCCAACGGCTTGGCAAGATTTCAACCCAACATTTTGCAAGGCCTGAATCTGATTTCCTAACATTATGGCCTCCAGCCGGGTTCCGCCGACTCTACAGGGCGGCAAGGTCTAGGCTAGACACACACACACACACACACGCACGCACACACGCCCACACACAAACACACACGCACACACGCGTACATGCGTACGCGCGTACAGGCGTGCAGGCGCGCACACGCGTACACGCACAGACGCGTACCGGCGTACACGAGTATACATGCGTACGGGCGTGCACGCGCACACGCGTACAGGCGTACGCACATTAAGGCGTAGAGGCGTACGCGCGTAAAGGCGTACACGCGTACGGGCACACACGCGCACACGCGCACGGGCGTACGCGCGTAAACGCGTACGGGCGTACACGCGTACAGCCGTACACGCGCACACGCGTACACGCGTACACGCATACAGCCGTACACGCGTACACGCCTGCACGCCTACACGCGTACAGGCGTACAGGCGTACAGGCGTACATGCGTGCAGGCATTCAGGCGTACAAGCGTACGTACGCGTACACGCACACACGCGTACCGGCGTACACGAGATACATGCATACGGGCGTGCACGCGTACACGCGTACAGGCGTACACACATTAAGGCGTAGAGGCGTACAGGCGTACACGCGTACGGGCGTACACGCGTACACGCGCAAGGGCGTACACGCGTACACGCGTACAGGCGTACACGCGTACAGCCGTACACACACACACACGCACGCACGCACACACGCCCACACACACACACACACGCACACACGCGTACATGCGTACACGCGTACAGGCGTGCAGGCGCGCAGGCGTACACGCGTTCACGCGCAAAGGGCGTACACGCGTACGGGCGTACACGCGTACAGCCGTACACGCGCACACGCGTACACGCGTACACGCATACAGCCGTACACGCGCACACGCCTGCACGCCTACACGCGTACACGCGTACAGGCGTACAGGCGTACATGCGTACAGGCATTCAGGCGTACGTACGCGTACACGCACACACGCGTACCGACGTACACGAGTATACATGCGTACGGGCGTGCACGCGTACACGCGTACAGGCGTACACACATCGAGGCGTAGAGGCGTACGCGCGTAAAGGCGTACAGGCGTACACGCGTACGGGCGTACACGCGTACACGCGCAAGGGCGTACACGCGTACACGCGTACGGGCGTACACGCGTACAGCGTACAGCCGTACACGCGTACACGCGTACACGCGTACACGCATACAGCCGTACACGCGTACACGCCTGCACGCCTACACGCGTACACGCGTACAGGCGTACAGGCGTACATGCGTACAGGCATTCAGGCGTACAAGCGTACGTACGCATACACGCGTACACACGCGCACAGGCGTGCACGCGTACACGCGTACGGGCGTACACGCACACATGCGTACAGCCATGCACCCCCAGCGCGCGCTCGACAACACCCCAGCCCTTTAGACAACTCCCAAATGCTTCCCCTGCCGCACAAACGCAAGCCCAAGAGCACGAAGCACTGCGCCCGCCACGATTTCAGCACCTGCATCTCCAAAGTGCTGCGCCTGCCACGCGAATTGGGGGTCCCCAACCGCGCGCTCGACAACATCCCAGTTAGACAGCTGCCAAATGCTGCCCCTGCCACACAAAC